GGTACGCGCAAATTCTCGCAAGCGTGGGCTGTGGGCCAAGCGAGGGGAGAATGCATTCGTGCCAGACCTTGAGGCGGACATTCTGGGGGACCCCGCGAACGAGAGCCTCTGCAAGGGACGCCTGTAGCGCCGCCTGCAGGACTGAGCAGACCTCGGGGGACAGCTCGACGTTGAGGGCGAGGAGCACTGGGGGGTCAAGGCCCGCAAGCGCTCCCAGGAGGCTGGAGTACCACGTGGCGTGTCCTGCGCGTGCTACAGCGACAGCAGTTGAGAGGGCAGCTCGTGGTAGGACAGTCGTTGTTGCGCAGAGGTACTCCAGATAGCGGATGGCGAGCAATAAACGGCGGTGTCGTATTGGCCAAGGCCAAGGCCGGTATGAATGATGGAGACAGTGGAGTTGACCGGAAGGGTGAGCACCCGTCGAGCGAGCAGTCGCTGTACCCGCACAAGGCCGTCCAGGTCATCTGTTGATCGGGCGACGTCGACCATAGCGCCCTTCACGAGATGTGGATCGACATGCGTGTTGCACAGGAGGCGAGCGTGGGCGGGGGCGGTCTCTACCCCCATGAGGGACCGTAGAGCCAGGCAGGTATGCGCGACTGCTTCCGCTTTGCGCGCATTGGCGGCACGGTTGCCTGCCAGGATATTCGGCGTGGTGGACCGAAACATCACCCCTACATACATGTGTCTCCTCCAGAAAAGAGAGCGAGGAACGGAGGATTCCCGGACGTGGGAGAGCGACGCGGCGGTTGCCGGCCTCTTCCGCCGGATCAAACTCCGCCCAAATCGGCTGTGTGCTCCTGATCGACTCGGCGGCCGCTGTTGTGGACTCAGCGCCCAGCACTCTACTCAGCTGTCATACACAGCCAGGCTCTGGCTTACTCGAGGGAAACTCTCTGCTCAGAGAACGCGAAGACTCCGAGTCTCGGATGACCGTCAAGGCATATGACTCCGCCGACATTTCGTGCAGTTCCGTCTGTTTTGATGGAGTAATCGTCGGAGCCACCCACTTTGCAAGATATTCAGGAACCGTCCCTCTGCCACATTAACCGCCGTCCCGTCACAAGCTGTCGGGGACACCGTTGTCCCATTACGCCCGAAGCAAAATTGCCCAGTCCCGGCGACCTCAAAGCTCCTCGGACATTGCACTCGATTCTCGTCACCGATCCCCCTCTCTGCCTCTCAGCTCTCCCCTCCGGGCCACCAGGCTCCATACACTCTTTTTGGATCGACTCACGGCACTATGTCAAAGACTTCGGGAAGATCCTTCGTGACGGCGACTGCCCTCTTCGTCGTCGTGCTCACACTCATACAGCGAGCCTCAGCTGCCGGATGCTCCCCCGGGTATTACCTCCTTGGCGGTACCTGGTGCTTGAGCTGCCCGGCGGGCACTTACAACGATGGGAACGCCGCATCCTGCTCAGTATGCCCCGCAAACAGTTACAGCGCGGCCAGGGCACCGAGCTGCACAGCCTGTCCCTCCGGCTCGATCAGCACCCCCGGCAGCACTTCGTGCACGCCCTACAATAACTGCTCGCCCGGCACGCACTTCGACGGCAGCGGCTGCCCGTCCTGCCCGGTCAACACCTACTCCGGCCCTCTCGCGACGTCGTGCACGGCATGCCCCGGCCAGCAAGTCAGCGACGCGGGGTCCTCCTCTTGCCACGCCTGCGCCTCCGGGACCCATTACGACTCTGGCGCCTGCGTCGTCGACGTCACCTGCACCCCGGGCCAGTTCGTGAACAGCAACGCGTGCTACGACTGCCCAGCCAACACGTATTCGATGGACGGCGTCTCGTGCGCTGCCTGCCCCGGCCAGCAAGTCAGCGACGCGGGGTCCTCCTCTTGCCACTCCTGCGCCTCCGGGACCCATTACGACTCTGGCGCCTGCGTCGTCGACGCCGTCACCTGCACCCCGGGCCAGTTCGTGAACAACAACATGTGCTACGAGTGCGCAGCCAACACGTATTCGATGGACGGCGTCTCGTGCGCTGCCTGCCCCGGCCAGCAAGTCAGCGACGCGGGGTCCTCCTCTTGCCACTCCTGCGCCTCCGGGACCCATTACGACTCTGGCGCCTGCGTCGTCGACGCCGTCACCTGCACCCCGGGCCAGTTCGTGAACAACAACATGTGCTACGAGTGCGCAGCCAACACGTATTCGACGGACGGCGTCTCGTGCGTGGCCTGCCCCGACGGCGAAATCAGCGACATGGGGTCCTCGTCCTGCCAGGCCTGCGACTTCGGTACCCACTACGACTCCGGCTCCTGCGTCGTCGACACACCCACCTGTACTCACGGCCAGTACCCGCTCGACGGCGAGTGCTCGTCGTGCGCGGCCAACACCTACTCCAACGACGGTACCGAATGCGTTCCTTGCCGCAGCAACGAGGTCAGCGACCCCGCCTCATCGTCCTGCCACGGCTGCGCGGACGGGACCCATTACGACGCGGAATCGGCCACCTGTGTCACCGACACACCCACCTGTACTCCCGGGCAGTACCCGCTCAACGGCGAGTGCTCGTCGTGCGCGGCCAACACCTACTCCACCGACGGTACCGAGTGCCTTCCTTGCGCCAGCAACGAGGTCAGCGACCCCGCCTCATCGTCCTGCCACGGCTGCGCGGACGGGACCTATTACGACGCGGATTCGGCCACCTGCATCGCCGACCCCCCTATGTGCGCGGCGGGGACGTACCTCAACGGAAACGCGTGCACGCCCTGCGCCGCCGGGTCGTACAGCGGCGACGGGGCGACCCAGTGCGAGGAGTGCCCGGCGGGCCAGTTCTCGTGGGAGGGCGCGTCTGCATGCTGCTCCTGGTGCGTCCGTTTCTATCCGCGGTGCACTGCACGCGTGTGCTCACAGACACCTGTTCGCAGCTGCTCCGGGTTCTACTCCGACCACCCGGGCGCTCCCAGCTGCACGCAGTGCGCCACGGCCGGCGCATACTCCGTCGTCGGGGCGACCTCCGCGTCGGCGTGCTCCTCCTACTATCTCGGCGGCCAGCTCTCCTGCCCCAGCTCCGGGCCTACCTGCCGTGCGCCCCCCTCCACTTTCCCTGCTCTTCGCCCATGTACTGACGTCTCGTCCCGTCCGCAGCTGACGTCGGCGGCGCGAACCCCTCCAGCCTCGCTCACCAAGCCCCCGTCCGACGCCGGGCAGCGTGTGCCCTCGGACAGCGAAGCTGCCCGGTCTACGGCGTCTCCGCGAACGGGCACGGGTACGTCCGTGGGAGCGAGTGCGTCGACGTCCGGACGGACCTGGAGAGCTGCGGCGGGTGTGTCGCGGACGACTCGCCGCTCGGCGCGCGTAACGCGGATGGGGGGCGCGACTGCAGCGCGATCCCGGACACGGGGCGGGTGGCGTGCCGCGGGGGCGCGTGTGTTATCGGTGAGCCCCTTCCCCCCGATGCGCCGGTGCTTCGTCGGCGAGGCTGATGTGGGTGGGGCTTTTGTGCAGAATCGTGCGCGTCCGGCTTCGCGCTCTCCGAAGACGGGGAGGCGTGCGTCGCCTCCAAGGCGTCCGGCGCGCTCCATGTGCAGCGTCGAGCCGCGGGCCACCGTGCTCGACGCTCCGCTATGAGCCTTTAACCTTGCACTCCTTGAGCGCTGCCTGTCTTTTCCAGTGTTGGAGGAATATCAACGCATAGATAATTGAGAGAGTATCGGATTCAATGTACCTTCTGCTAATCGCCACACTCGTTCATCACCTTTGCTTCATTTCTGGATGCCTAGAACGGCGAGGGAATAGAGTCCGTGAAGCCGCGATTGATCTTCCGTGCACTGCTCAATGTCCACGGTCCTCCCTTCTAAACCGTTGCATCAGAGGCTAATGCCAGACACGGCGGTGTAGAATCTTGAGTCTAAATAGTCCTCCACACCGTGCGTACACTCATGGGGAGAGCCTGCCATGATACGTGACATGATCGTGCATGCAAGGTGCCGGGTCGCGGTGGGTGAACGAGCGCTTATCGGCCCTGTTCCCGCGATTCGGCGCGAGCGAACCTCCAACGTTCCCAGCCACCACCAGTCCGGGATGTCCGATACTGATAAAGGATGGCGACGGGAGTCGCAGAAGGGGTGGCGAGCAGGATCCCGGCGAACAACTGTCTCGTCTCCGGAGGCCTAGGTTGGTCCCGTTTCCGGGGAGATCAAGTCCGGGTGCCTGCATGTGGTGGAGAAGGAAGGCCGGCAGCCAGGTATCCCTGAGTGTCCTCTGTCGTGTGTCGCGGTGTCAGGATGCGATATATGTACATACTCACACCGGGTTGACAGCTGTAACGTAGCGCGGGAGCTGGGCGCTCCGTGGCAGGCATTGGGGGCATACAGAGAGATGCAGGGCGGAGTGGAAGTACTAGGGAAAGAAATGGTGCTGCTGATACAACTTGAAGTGAAAGCGAGGAGGAGAGCGAGGAACGTGGGAGAGCGACGCGGCAGTTGCCGGCCCCTCCGCAGACTCCGCGGGATCAAACTCCGCCCAAATCGGCTGTGTGCTAATTGAGGCGGCCGTTGTGGACTCAGCGCCCAGTACTTACTCAGCCAGCTGGCTCCACCTTGGGCGAGGCCGACCACACAGTAACGCATGACACGGTGCGTGTTGACCATATAGTTCAACCTGTCGACTCGAGGCCGACTCTCTTCTCAGAGAACGCGAAGACTCCGAGTCTCCGATGTCCGTCAGAGTATTCGACTCCACCAACATTTCGTGCAGTTCCGTCTGTTTTGATGGACTCGTAATCGTCGGAGCCACCCACTTTGCAAGATATTCAGGAACCGTCCCTCTGCCACATTAACCGCCGTCCCATCACAAGCTGTCGGGGACACCGTTGTCCCATTACGCCCAGAAGCAAAATTGCCCAGTCCTGGCGACCTCTTGAAAGCTCCTCGGGCAGTGCAGTCCATTCCCGTGACCGATCCCCCCTCTTTGCCTCTCTGTCGCTCAGCTTTTTTCTTCCGGCCAAAAGGCTCCATACACTCTTTTTCGAAAGTTGACTCACGGCACTATGGCTAGTACTTCGGGAAGATCATTCGTAACAGCGACTACTCTCTTTGTCGTCGGGCTCACACTCGTACGACGAGCCTCAGCCTTACGCGGCTGCACCCCCGGGTTCCAGAGCCTTGGGGACGGGTGCGTACCCTGCTCCGCCGGCACTTACGGCCCAAATGGCCGGCTTTGCTTCCCGTGCCCCGCAAACTCGTTCAGCGCGGAAGCGGCATCCAGCTGCACAGTCTGTCCCTCCGGCTCGACCGCCAACTCCGGCAGCGCTTCGTGCACACCCTGCTCGGCTGGCACGTACTTCGCCGGCAGCAGCTGCCTGTCCTGCCCGGTCAACACCTACTCCGCCCCCCTCGCGACGTCGTGCACGGCATGCCCCGACCAGCAAGTCAGCGACATGGGGTCCTCGTCCTGCCACGCCTGCGCCTCCGGTACCCACTACGACTCCGGCTCCTGCGTCATCGACACGCCCACCTGCACTCCCGGCCAGTACCCGCTCGACGGCGAGTGCTCGTCGTGCGCGGCCAACACCTACTCCAGCGACGGTACCGAGTGCCTCCCTTGCCCCAGCAACGAGGTCAGCGTCCCCGCCTCATCGTCCTGTCACGGTTGCGCGGACGGGACCCATTACGACGCGGAATCGGCCACCTGTGTCACCGACCCCCCTATGTGCCCGGCAGGGACGTACCTCAACGGAAACGCGTGCACGCTCTGCGCCGCCGGGTCGTACAGCGGCGACGGCGCCACTGAGTGCGAGGAGTGCCCGGCGGGCCAGTTCTCGTGGGAGGGCGCGTCCGCATGCTGCCCCTGGTGCGTCCTCTCCGATCCGCGGTGCGCGTGCGTGGCATGCTCACAGACGTGGGTTCGCAGCTGCTCCGGGTTCTACTCCGACCACCCCGGCGCGAGCAGCTGCGCGCAGTGCGCCACGGCCGGCGCATACTCCGTCGTCGGCGCGTCCTCCGCGTCGGCGTGCTCCTCCTACTATCTCGGCGGCCAGCTCTCCTGCCCCAGCGCCGGGCCTACCTGCCGTACGCCCCCCCTCCACCATTCCTGCTCTTCGCCCACATACTGACGTCTCGTCCCGTCCGCAGCCGACGTCGGTGGCGCGAACCCCTCCAGCCTCGCTCACCAAACCCCCGTCCGACGCCGGGCAGCGTGTGCTCTCGGCCAGCGCAGCTGCCCGGTCTACGGCGTGTCCGCGACCGGGCACGGGTACGTCCGCGGGAGCGAGTGCGTCGACGTCCGGACGGACCTGGAGAGCTGCGGCGGGTGCGTCGCGGACGACTCGCCGCTGGGCGGGCGCAACGCGGACGGGGGGCGGGACTGCAGCGCGATCCCGCACACGGGACGGGTGGCGTGCCGCGGGGGCGCGTGTGTTATCGGTGAGCCCCTTCCCCCCGATGCGCTGGTGCTTCGTCGACGAGAGGCTTACGTGGGGCGCTTTTTTGCAGAGTCGTGCGCTTCCGGCTTCGCGCTCTCCGAAGATGGAGAGGCGTGCGTCGCCCCCTCCAAGGCGTCCGGCGCGCTCCATGTGCAGCGTCGAGCTGCGGGCCATCGTGCTCGACGCTCCGCTATGAGCCTTTGACCTCGCACTCCTTGAGCGCTGCCTGTCTTTTCCAGTGTTGGAGGAATATCAACACATAGAGGATTGGATTTGATGTACCTTCTGCCAATCGCCACACTCGTTCACCACTTTTGCTTCATTTCTGGATGCCTAGAGCGGCGAGGGAATAGAGTCCGTGAAGCCGCGAGGAGTTGGTCTTCCGTGAGAGTATCGCATTAGAGGCTAGTTCCAGACACAGTGGTGTCGAAACTTCAGTCCAAATGGTCCCCCACACCATGCGTACGCTCATGGAACTTCTCGCCGCGAAGACGGGGTTCCAGTAGGCACATGAAGTATACTATGCGGACTGATGGTGAAGAGACACGATGCGTGACATGGTTGAACGACGCGGACGAGACGCTTATGCAAGGTGTCGAGCCGCATTGGACGTTGAGCTCGGTACCCGCGAAACGGCGCTTAGAGGCGGCGAACCGTAATACCCAATCACAGCCAGCTCAGGATGATCTCTGATGTCGACAAGGCCCTTGGAGAGGAAAAAGGTACGTGTTCTTCAGGGCTCCCATTCTCGCGTTAGATCCAGGACGGGCAGGATCGGCGGCCTCAATGCGAGAGCTCAAGGTGCATAGTGGATTACGAGAACGGCCATACGTACAGGGCGGCGTGTGCTTCTATGGAGACATGGAGGGACAGACGGGAGTTCGGCATATAACGTTACGTGTCAGCGAGTGGGAGGGAGCAGGGGGCACGGGGCAAGCGAGGGATATCGGAAAAGAGCTGTGGGCGAGGCTGGCGTCAACGCAGCGACGGACTCGGGGGTCGGATGATAAGTAGGCAACAGATTTCCAGGGAGCCGAGGGTGTTCGGGTAAAGACGGCAGATGCGAGCGAACGGGGAATAAAACAGACTGTGGGGCGTTATACGATCCTATGTGTATCGGCGGATTGGGGAACAGCGAGACAGGGAGACAATATTCGAATGTATCATACACCGACGCGAAGCGAAGGGGTTCCAAGAAGGGGGTGCTATGGCACTGTCGGTTCTACGCTCACGCGTGGAGTCCGGTGGAGACCTTCAAGGTTACGATCGTCTTCGTGGCGTGGAGCGCGATGCGGAGCGCGTGCAGACACGCCCACCCGAATCCGACGATAAGAATGGGGATCCAGAAGAGGACCAACATCCGGTCATCTGCGTTCAACACAGGTTAGCCTCTTCCCGGAGCTTGAGTAAGAAAGGAAACGTACGTTTCTTCTGTGCCCGACGGGCAGGCTTCCTGTATCCATACAGCTGCATTTCTTCCTCGGGCACTGCAGCGGCAGCGTACCTCGCCTGCCGGGGCGCGACCGCCTTCTCGCGCTGCTCCTTCTTCTCCACCTCGACAGTGGGGGCGTCGACCTCGACGATGCTTGACTGGGGCTCTGCACTAAGCCCTTCAGGGCACTTGGTGTCCGCAGGGAACGAGTCCGCGTTGTCATGTCGCGGGGTGTACGCAGGCGGCGGGTTCTCGTGCTCGCGGCGCCCCTGCTGTTGCTGCGACGCGGCCAACATCCACTTCTCCCAGAAGGCCTTCCAATCCTGCCGAATCTGCGCCCCCTCGCCCTCGCCCTCAGCTTCGCCTTCAACGCCTTTGCCCTTCTCCTCGGCGCGCGCCCCCCAGAGCTGCTGGATCGCGACGAGCACGGGGAACACGGCCGCGACCTGCGGGAGCGCACCCCAGGCAGCCGTCGGCAGGCCGAGCGCGGGGAGCGGCAGGCCGGGGATCTGCATCTGCATCTGCGCGATCATGTCCTGCGGGTGCTGCAGCTGTGCGAGCGTGCGGTAGAGCGTGTCCGTGAACGTGGCCGCAGCGGCGGCCTCCTTCTCGTCCACGACGGCCCCCAACGCAGCCTTCTCGGACTTGGGGAGCGGCGCGGCTTTCTCGGCGGGCGGGGAGGGGGCTGGGGGTGATGGCAGGGGCGCGTCGCCCACGCTGCATTCCGTTGGGGGCGGCGCAGGCGTGACACGTTCAGGGGCCGTCGATGTTTGGGGAGTCGAGCGTGGGTGCGTACTCCGGCTGAATGGTCTGCGCACGCGGCGGCGCCTCAGTGCGTTGCGCAGCTCGGTGTCGTCCTCTGATTGCTCGTCGATGTCCGCCCAGGCCCCGTCGTCCGAGTCAGAGTCTGGCGCGCCGAACGAGCGCTCGCTCTCGGAGGTGATGAAGTCGAAGAAACCGGCCGGACCGACCTCCGCGGGCGTCTTTCCGGCGGCGTTGACAACGTCCATCGCGGCGCCAGCCTCGACCAAAACATGTGCGCACTCTGCAGAGGAGGTGAGAGCGGCGAGGAAGAGTGCCGTGCAGCCGTTGTTATCGCGAGCATCGATATCGATGTGCCGCGAGAGCAGGAAGCGAGTGAGCGTCGGGAACTTGGCAAGGACGGCGAGGTGAAGGAGCGATTGTCCACTGGGGGTCTGCTTGGACAGGACCGATGAGTTCGTGTCGGGACCGACAGGCACGTCGAGAAGAGCGAGGAAGTCCAAGAGGGTTTTCTCGAAGTCTCTGCTTTCACCGGCGCGGCCGAGCAGGAGACGCGCCGAAAGCTGCATCGCGCCTCCTGCGCTCTCTGTGGGCATGCTAGCGTTGGGGTCCGGACCGCCAGTGTTCCCGACGATGCGCATCGCAATGTTCCTGGCATCTTCGATCTTGCCAGTCATCTTCAAACCAACTACTTGAAGCGCGAGCTCCATGCTGAGAAGCGAGTGAGCTCTCGAAAAGCGCCGGGTTGGACAGAATGGTACTTACAGAGCCCTGTCTGTCTCATCCGTGTATGTGAACAGGCACGCTGGAGTGCCGTCTTCCTCTTTCGGGAGACCCTCGAACCATACATGCACTTGACCCGCGACGACGCTGGGCGGTAGAATACACACGAGAGTGTTGTCGCTCCAGCGCTGTGTCGACGTCGACGCGGTGGAACCGAAAACGCAGTTCAACGGCATTGAGCTATGGAAGTTGGCACCGAGAACCGTAACCTCGATACCGCCGAAGGTCGGTCCGGCCGCAGGAATCAATCGATGAATGCGGGGCAGAGGGAGTGTGACAGGCGGCGGCGGATCGTGTTTGAAGAGCATATATGGCAGTGGTAGGGTGGGGGCGGGAGCATGTGACATCGCGAGGTTCATTGGCTCGACCGCCGACTGCTGCGCCATCTCGGGAGGGGATTGTACGTAGGATGAGGTGGAAGGGTCTTGGAAGGCCGGCATGGGAGGTTCGAGGTCTGGCATGACGACGTCCATATTGAAGTTGGAGTGCATAATCTCCGCCATGGAGGGGTTCGAGTCGTACGCCGACAAAAGCGGACTAGCGACCGCAGTGGAAGCCGAGCTGTCGAGCGAGTCCGGCATCATTCCTTGCGTAGGTTGAAGAGGTTGTTCGTTCCCATAGTAGGGGTGGGCAAGGGGCGGTGGGACGCTTTGGACAGCGTATGGCGAGTGCGCAAGCGGCTCGTGGAGGTCGTAGGAAGGGGAAAGAAGGGGCTGAGGTTCATCCGGGTAGGCGGAATGTGGCTGATCGCCGACACTGTAAGAGGAGGGGGACGGGGATACGACGGAGGTGATGATTTGGGAGGGGAGGTGCAGCTGAGGAGACGACGCTCGAGTAGCGAAAGCCGAAGGCATCTCTGAAGGAGACTGCAGGCTTCCGCTGCTACTCTGTCGCTGGAGCCGTGAAAGCCGGCTGTTGGAGTCGTACGGCTTTGCACGCTTCTTGGCCCGCTCGGACCCGCCGGCCTTCCTGCGCTTCGGGGCGCTTGCTTGAGGCTCCATCCCAGACACGGTCCAGTCGAGCTTCGAGCCGAACTCAGTGTTGGCCTTCGCCGTGTTGACGCCGGTGCTCTTGTGGTCATCGGTGATCATGATTGGCTTAGTGGTCCCGGTGCCGACGATCCGCCCGGTGTGGTCCAGCATCCAGAAGCGTAGGTTAAAGCCTATTTTCTCGCGGTGGTGCCGGCAGTAACATGTGATGCGCAGGGGAAGAACAACAGAACCCGACGAGAAGTCGAGCACCTCGGGACAGTTGAACTGGATGATGTTTGATGTGTCTTCATGCTTGCCCTGGCCGGGAAGGACACGCGGCTCTTCTGCCGACTCGGAGTCGGAGCGCGTGGGCCTAACACGAGCAGCGATTTTGCGCGCGACTCTCTTCGCCTGTACAAAGGGTGAGAACCAGGTCGAATGCTTATTGCCTCCGTGGCCGGCTATCGCTAGGCACGTAGACCACACTAACACAGACCGGCACGGAGACAACTGAACGCATTGGATATATACGACTCACCTCGCGAGTCTGGCAACTCGAACAGACTGTCACCCGGGTATGAGGGGGCGTAGCGCACGTTATCTCGGCCGTGAGATAGAGACACTCCTCGAGAGGCGCGTCTGGGCACTCCGTCAGGCCGGTTTCTTGGGGATGATCGAGTCTTACTCACCGACTTTGCCCTCCTTCCTTGTCCGCTTCTTCGTCGTGGTACCTTTGGGGAGCCTCAACCATTTCCAACTACCCACTTTGTCGTACTTGAGCGGCTCCCCGGATGAAGCGCTCGCGTGTGCGAGGTCAACGGTGAGACGAATCTGAGTCTCTACACGAGACTTGGTGCCGCTGTCGGGTAACTTGGAAACAGGATGGAAGACTGAGGCAAGCAGCCGATGAGCAAAAATGCGCAATGAACGCTAACACCGATGGAAAGAGACGAAACGCACTTTGAGCATGACGCTTTCTCAGGGAAGACGACGCGTTGAAGTGTTGGGGGATCCTTACGGACGGGTGCGGGAGGTGGTATGGGCTTTAAGCTGGAAATAGAAGAACGATGGCCAGGTGCATAATCGGCCGATGGGGCGGGGGATGACGGGCTGACTACCGGACAGAACATGGATTCTGGAGAGAGGTCGCGGGCGGCGGGAGTTGCGCTTTGTTGATGACGCGCGTCAAGCGGGAGAAGGAGCCAAAGAAGCGATAACTCACTCTTCATATGCATGCGCCTGCAACAGATCCTCTA